CAAAGTGGCATTTCTCCAGCTTCTTTTTGGCAAGCAGCACTTTTCCCTGCCCTGGCAGAATTGATTCCAAGTTCTTAAAAGTTACAGCTTCACAGTGATTGTATTTCCTCTGTAATCACATGCATTCTTTTTATATAAGGAAGATAAATTACACTCGGTTGTGCTAGGATATGAACAGGCTGGAAACCTACTGGAGTGTAGTGATGGCGAAGTCCCAGCCATAGGACTGTGTGTAAAGATATGTGGGAAACCCCAAAGGTGCTGTACCACTGTATTCCCAGTTCTGGGAAGCATGAAGGATCAGAGCAGCTTCCTCCCTTCCATAACACTGCGTACAACAAGAAGTTGAGTTTGCGTTTTGAAAAAGTAACATTGCTAATACATTGGATACAAAATGGTAAGGAATCTTATTTCTTTAAACTTTGTAATAATCTGGGAGCATGCTGATCTTGAATGTCATTAATTATGCAGCAAAGCTTTTGAGAGATTAATGACACCACCTGTGAGTAAACACAACCCACGGATGAAGCTAACCGGAGCTTTGACTGAGAAACTCAAAAGTAGTCATTTGCTGCGTGTGTTCTGGGGATTCTCATAGGCTGTTCTCAGATGTAATGCTATAGTGAGGTGTTGCTATATTGAAATGAAGGAAGTGAATTCACTGGTGCACAGCAGCAGTGAAAAATCCATTTTCCTGTACTGAAATATGGTCTTCAAATCAAAGGCAACAAATGAATATTCAGTTCCTGTGACCACTAAGTTGCTACATTTCAAAGAGAACTCGAACTATTTGGTGTGTGTGTTGGGCAGTAACTTACAACAGAATTCTCCATTGTTTCCACTGTTTTCTGAAAGCACTCCTAATCGTACAGTTGCCTTTCAGTGGCCTCTGAGAGCCACACCTGCAGACTTCATAGAAAGTTTATCTTGTTTTTATTTTTCCAAGTTGACTATTTGGATTGATATTTGTTACAGAATGAGATAAATGGTTCAGTACTTCTTGTTAGGTAAAGCTTGTGATAGTGAAGACTGCAAGTCTGCCTATGCTATATAATTTGTTAAAAAATAAACATTCATGGTTCAGTCCTTTCTCATTCTAGCCTCTTTTGTCAGTGTAAGTGGAGTAACAACTAGTAATGCTCCTTGTTTGTAGTCTGTTTCTGGTCACTGTAGTGTGAACGCTGCATTTTGTTTCACTGCACTTGAATTTCATGTTTAGGTATTGAATGGGTTTATGGAACTTAGAAAATTAAGTTTTGTCGAATACTGCATATGCTTCAAGTGCAGCCAGACAGTAGGCAGTGTGTAAACACATGAAAAATCATCTGCCCAATGAGCTTATATCCCAAGATCTGTCATAATCAACGTGCTTACTGTACAACTTTTGCTTTCTCCAGTGAGGTAAGACTTGTGTATTTGTGGAATACAGTGTGTCCAACTTAAGGCTGTTCCACACCAAGTAAATCTTCCTGTATTTCTCCAATTCAATAAGATTTTGTCAACATGCCATATATAAGTTGTGCTGACAACTTCTCATGGTGGCATTTCATTCCAGATAAAACTAAATGCAGGAGATACCCTATGTTATATGAAATCCACATGGCGAGATGTTAACAAGAAATATATATTCTTAAAAGCTATCTTTTGTGGAATTCAGTAAGCTTGGTTTTCTTGAATCGTCTGCAGATCCTATCATTGGTTCTGGAATGTGCTCTTTCCCTTTGCCAGGGCTGCCAGACAGAGCCCTCTGACAATCTCTTTATCTGTAGGGCTGTCTATAATGTTAATTAGCGAACTCTTTGAAAAACCGGCTTCCATGAGTTAATTTATGCACAAAACATCACTGTGGGTTGTGTTCTACCTGTTTCCCAACTCGGGGACCAAAGTATAGCTTAGGAAACTTGGCTTGGGCCACACAAGAAGCCTGTGTCGTAGCCAAGAATTGAGAGATTCACATTTCATTGCCTGACCACAAGACTTTCAGAAAATAAAGAGCTGAACAAAAGCAGATGCAGCCCTAAGAATTTGAGGTTGAGTACAGTTTGCCGGGTGCTTTACTCTGCCCATAAAACTGGAAGGATCTGCTTTGGAAGCCTAATAGTGCTTATGCATTCCTAGCTATTTATTTGCAAACTCCCAGACTGCAGAGATTTCAGCCTGACTTGGTCTTCAGTGCAAATCCAGACAGTGCAGTATTTAGTTTTCTGACTCTCTTAACTCACTGGTACAACTTCATAATAATTGTTTAGGGCTGATCCCTGGGCTCAGAGAAGAGGAAAAGGAATTTCAGTGCTATGCTTTTTCAAGAGGTTTTCAAGAGCTAGATCCAGGTTACAAAATCAAGGCAGGATCTGAAATCATGAGACTGGTATTCCAAAGCTTCTGTGGATTTTTCTGTTTGTCTGTATGTGTCTTCTGAGTACATGCTCTCCAATGTAGCAAGGAGGTACAGTAAGCTCAGTAAGACTTGAAGTGCTGTTTACCTACTGAAGTGTTTACATGGCTGCTATTCCTGTTGGTGTATCTAAGCACTCTGCAGTATTTAATGGATCTCACAGACAAAAATTCTCCAGTACTAATATTCTGTAGGTTGATGTACAGAAGGGCATAAGCCCAGCTTCATGATGCTATTTAATCATGTAACTCCTGTGTTTTCAGTGAGACCTTTGCATTTTACAGAAGTTAGGCACACACACAATTTGGTGACGGTTCCGTGACTTGCCCCAGCTCTCACACAGTCCTTGTCAAATGATCTCAGTCCTGTCATAGCAGTCCTGTATTAGCACAAGGAGAATTAATGTTTCACATATTCCTCTGTGAGAAGGTAAGACAATTCAGGCTAGACTGAGCAGTTTTTAGCTGCAAGGAAAACAAGCTGCTGAAACAACAGCAGTCTAACTTGATGGCTCCTCACGCATTAACAGTGGAAGCTTGAAAAGAGATGCCTCCTGGTATTGCTGCTGCTACATGTGGGTGTTGTACAAAGCCCACTTGCTGATAGTCCACAGTTTATATCACACAGAACTTGAGATTTGATTCTAATGGCAGCTGCCACCTTTACGTCTCTGCTTCTGTAGCATTTTTCTTAGCCTGAGCTCCTCATACTGGTGCTGGGAGCAGTTCATAGACTTTCTTTCCATCTGATGACGTAGACAGGTGGGATATTTTGTAACAGGCAGTTCTGTGCCAGATATCAAAGTCAGAAATTTCAGAATTGGGAATATGAGGAAGGGGAGTGGGATATAGTCTGTCCCTGAATTTTGGATGGCTGTGTTAATACTGGTTGATTATCCTTCAGAGTGCAATTATTATTTGGACATAGAAGACACCTCCCTCTAAATTCCTTGTGACATAAGGTCTCTGACTAAAATTAGGTCACAGCTATTGAATTGTTCAGTTGTCCACCCACAAGGGAGCTACAGAGACCTCTTACAATTCCTTGCAATCAAGTAAGTAGCAGTTTCTCTCATTTATCCTCCAAGGAAGCAGTTCACCAAAAATAATATGTTGATTCCTTCACCCCTCCCTGTCACTAATCACTCCTCTCTCTTAGCTATGTACTGACTTGGCCCTCATCATCAGAGTATCCAAGTCATTAATTTTCAACTTACATCACTTCGGTGATGTAAAAAGTGTTGTCCTCATTTCACAGCTGGAATTGACACATCAAGTGAGTGACGTGCCTGAAGTTTCACAGCAATCATGGCAATAGAAACTACTGACTTATTCTTAGACTATTCTGTTTCTTGGAAAACTAACCTGTGTTCCTTCTTCTTGTTTCTGCTACCCCCTTTGCCTCCTCTTGTTGATTACTGGGCCAACAGTTCAGTTGTCTTGAGCATTCAAACCAGCCATTGACTAGCAGGGCCAAATGGATACACCTCTCCCTTGTGTGAGCACGAGCAGCATCGCTGCTGCCATGTAGGGAGTTAAGTCAGGGAACCAATTCAGGGTGAAGCTAATCTATCACAGAACAGTTTGAGCCCCTTATCAGGCTGGTGGCAGTGGCAGAACAGGGAAAGGACAGGACAGTGCCGTGCAATGGCTAATAGCTTGAATGGCTTGTGGGACTGTGTACTCTCTTTTCCCTGGTGGGAATGCAAACAGCATCAAAACCTTAACCAAAATAGTTTCTAGTTTCTCTTTTCAAGTGTAGATTGCAAACTTGGTATTTTCACTGTGTCTGTAGAGCCTCCCCAAAGTGAGGCGAAGGGGCAGCTGAGAAGTGCAGATGTGTTCTTGTGATGACTTTACTCGTGACCTATGTGGCAAGCTTTTCTTGTGTGGCTGTTAACATTAAAAGTGTTTGGCTCCATACAAACTTTTTCTGCTTGAAATTAAACTGTTTGTGAAGAGTTTTAAGTGCAACCAGAGAAAGGCACTATTACCAGGATAAGTACCTTCACAAAGGGAGTAATTTAAGTGTTGCAGATTGCTACCACATCTTGCCTTGCAACACTCGGACCTGCATCAGCCCGTGTAACCTTGAGTGGCTCCTTAGAAAACAAGACAAATTAAAATGGTGTGTGGGGTTTTTTAAGTCTTTAGAGTGTCATCTCGAGGAGATTCCTGCTATGACTTTGATGTGAGAGTCATACATATATGGAGAATGTCCTGCTTTGCTGATCCCTCCCCAGAAGTGGCATTCAGAGAGCTTCCAAGTTGCCCTTCTGAGATGTGCTTTTAGCTTTCAAAACAAACCATGTTTTGAATCCTACTGCTTCACTTGAAGAGTTGCAATGTAGGAGAACTGCCAGTGTGCAGTGATGCCCTCGTCCTGACTGTATCAGAAGTCTAGTAGGGACCTAGTAGTTAGGGGACTTCAGGCAGGGACCTTGCCATGCTTATGGCTTGCTTGTTGATGACTAAGGCAGGAGAGAGATGGCAAATATTTAGAATAAAAGAAGCTTTTTTTTTCTTCCCACATTTAAGGAAATGCTACAGAAGAGAACAGACTTTTTAACGACTGTTGTTAATATTTTTTTGAAGAGCAATGGTATCTTTCCACCTGAACTGCCCCGTGATTCCCCTAAAACAGCTGAGACCTTGAAGAACTGTGTTGCTGTCAGTGAGGCTGTGACATAGGGTCTCTGGCTGGAGGGGAAAAAAAACCAAAACATTTCTGCTTTTCCATCTTCTGTGCGGCACACGAAGCTTCCCCAGGAGAGTGAGAGGCTCTTGTAGATGGACCTCAGTGCTGTGAACTCCTGTAGAGAAAAAACTGCCCTGTATCAGATGCAGCCACAGTCCTGTTGCCAGGCATTACAGAAGCAGCAAAAGAAGTGTGTGGGATTGTTGCACTCGTTCAGTTTGTTCAGGCTCAAACTGACACAAATCAGTTTGATTTTTTTCTTCCTGTGCTGAGTACAGATTGTAATGTAACAGCGCAGCCACTCTGTGTAGTAGGAACCTAACAATAACCAGATTTTAACATAGTTACTAATTCTTTTGAAGGAGGCAGTGTTAGCAATTATAAACTAGACTAGACATTGGTAAGAACTTACAAAATAATTACAGGCTTCCTGAAGTAATACCGTGTGAGTAATTACAGGTTTTAAAACATTGTTATGAGCAGGAGTTTATACCGAAACTTCATCCTGCTCTTTGAAACCAGAATACATAACTCTCACCATGCCACAGCCAATGCTTGTCCTTCTCCACAGAAGAACTTAGCCTTGCTTTACTGTACAGCAAATGTTCTGTGGTACATTATTTAAATTAGCATATAATAGAAACCTAATTGCCCACTAGGGCCCACAGCTTTAGCTGGTGTAGATCAATGTGCTTCCACTGAAGTCAGTGTAGCAATGTTGATTTTCACCCCTGGAGGATCTGGCTCAGCAGCTTGTTTCTATTCCAAGCATTGTTAAAGGAGATAGTGCATTTAGAATATTAAACCGTGGCATTGTCAGAGATAGCCTGCTCAATTTATGTGCGAGTGAAGAGAAATAAAGAGGTAAAACTATTATTTTTATCTGAGGATTTCAATTTGCAGTGTCAGTTATTCGCAGTGACTGATCTGGTACAACGGGGAAATCTTAAACGTTGGGGTCATCTTGTTGTGGCTTTAATTTCCTACGTCTGTAGTTATCTAATCCTCTCAGTGTGAGTGAGCATGATTAGTATTTACTTCTGTTCTGTGTTCCAGTGCCCTGAGCCAGGTCCTGTGCTAAGTCCTAAGTGACTCTCCTACTTCATTGACGTTAACTTACGCTGCAGTAATTTAAGTAAAAACTGAGACTTTATGTTTGAAGCCCTGTACGTATTTCTTCAATGTGGATTCTGCTCAGATGTCAAGGTTTGCAGCGTATTTGTTGGTATTTTTAAGTGGTTTTGGATTTTTTTGTAGCAGTGTTTTCTGTCACAAGGATTTGGAACGAAACTGCCTCCTTGATTGGGACACAACCAGGAGCACTGTTACAGCTGTACAACTGGTTTGTAAGTTGCTACAGTAAGAACAACAGCTGTCTCTCTCTCTGGAGAGTCAAGTACCAAAATGAATAATAGTTCTTCACTTTATCAAGTGGCTTTTACAATAATTTGAAATGCTTGGTGCAAGAAGCTTATTTTGCTTATGAATGCTCCATTCAGGAACAGAGAAACTTCAGTTCTGAGCCGAGCCAACAATCCTTCTTTGTTGAAGTTGTTTCCTCCCATTTCGCTGCCATTATTCACAGGCCTCAGGCTGCTCCCCCCACTTACCTCTGCTTCCATTTGTCCCCTGGTAGCTCTGGATAATCACAGCTATTCTTCTGAGAGTAGGAATGTGGGAGTTCTGGTCAAACATTTTGGTTCTTTATCAAGGACAGTGTGGCAATGGACTGCATATGAGTGGTTTGAAACAGTACAGTGTTAACGCTCTCAACAGTTTGAGTTGCCTGGTGTTCTTGTCTCTCTTCTGGCACATGCAGAATACAAGCATGGACAGAAACAGCATCAGGAGTGATGAGTAAAGGCTGTTGTGAAAGGGTTTAGTGATTATTACCTTCATTCTCAGTAAAGTACTGCATGCTTTCATTCAGCTCTGCTTATGAGGTTGTTGGTTGTTTTTTTTTGCCCTGACGAAGTATAGGTCAGCAAATGGTTTTTGTTATCTTTGCATAAGATGATTACAGTAATACAGGTGCTGTTTCTATTATTTTCTCCTAACGTTTATCAAGCATCCTTTGTTTTAGGAAACACAGATCAAATCCTTTCACTACTTGCCTGCCTGCCATTGTCTCTTGGCCTTTAGGACCTTATGTTGACCATATGAAGCAAGTTGATTCTTCTCTTGCAATCTCTCAAACGCATTTAAGAACTGAGTCCATCATTTTCTTCTGATAATTTCCTGTTCATACTTACATTCTGCACAGTGTGTGTATTCTGCCTGGCTCTCTGGGGCGTAGGATTGTCTCCTTCTTCATGGTACTTTCATACCTGTTTGAAAAAGATGTCAGCATTCTCTGTTTTTTGGGGCATCATTTTGAAATTTCAATTATTTTTTTTAATAAGTGTATAGATAAAGTATTAAGGCAACCATACGGACGTTGATGATAAGGCAGTGCTTCAGGTTCCTTTGTTTTCAGTACTATGTTTTTCAGCCTTGATATGTTTTTATGGTGCTTTTCTTCCTGCTTAAAAACATGGGAACATTTAACCTATGTGGCCGTATTTGTGTAATATGAATCATCATCTCTTGAGGTAAGGATACTGTCCTGCATGTGTGAGAATAACAATGCAATGTAATTTTAGAATCTGAAGGCCAGCTGGCACAACACTGAAGATGGTAGCTTCCCTGAGCAGTTAATCGTGTTAGGTAACTCATGATGCAAACTGTCGTGCTCTCTAGAGTGTGTGAGCCTCTTACCTGGGTAAGTTAGAAGAAAAGCTGAATGAACTTTGAGAGCTGCAGAATATGCTGCAACTAAACGGCAGAAGATCAGCTGATAGTGCTGTGCTTGTATCACTTTACTCCCCAGTGAGGTCAGAGTAGTAAAGCTATTATGTGTGGGGCTTTTTGCTTTTTTGTTAGGAAGAAGCAGGATTGCTAAGATAATGGGTGAAGGCACTGGAGCATTCATGGCAATAATTTCTAAAAGTTGGAGATAAATAGGCAGGCAAAGTTGAAGACTTATCGGGGTGGGGATATTAGCATTTTGAATACTCTCTGCACAGATGCAGTTATCATTTAATTGACTTTACCTTAGGGAACACTAGAAAATCACTACACAGCCATAAAGGAACAGCTTTTGCAGAGTCCATAAGGGCTCTGTTCTGCTGTACAAGCAACTGAAGCTGTTACGCTAATGGAGTCGCAACAGGGAAGGAGAAAGCCTGCCTCTGATCTGCTACTACGCGAGCTCGGACATGACAACCTGCATCCTGTCCTTCCTTTACACCTATCCTCGTGAGTAACTTCATTAGCTTGAATCACAGCTGTCACCTTGCTTCTCTTTTGATGCAAGGAGAGAAAGTTGCATCTTTGTGAGGGAATGGGGCCTTTTGCCTCCAGGGGCGATTTGCCCCCAGACCAGCCCAGTCCCCACAAGCTGCCATTTAAGCCCAAGGCCCAGCTCATCACCAGCAGCATGTTGCAGAGGTCGGTCTTGAGGTCTGTCTGCCATACACAGCACTCCTGGCTGGCAGTCTGGGCTTGCTCTGCTGCTCTTTCCATGGCATTTTTAAGACAGAGGGGAATTCTGCATTCAGGGCTGCAGCAATTTGTGCTACAAATTGGATTGTAATTGCCTGCTCCCCCGAGAGGTGCATGTGATGTGCAGCGTGCCCGTTTACCCGCTGCACACATGGCTGGTGACAGGGCTCCCAGCTGCTGTGCTGTCCTGCTTGGCAGGAAGCAGTGAGGGGAGGCAGGACTCGTGGATCACAGGGGAGGGCAGACATAGGCACCCTTCTCCTGTCACGTCCTGTGTGTCATCTGTGGAGCCAAAGGACCAATGTGGGAATGAGAAGATGACCAATTTGGGTTTTTCCCTAAACTTGGTTTTCAGTCTGATGTCTGGAACAAAGGGGGTTACTTTGAATTTTAAATGATTTTAGTAGAAAAAGAATTGATTGCGTAGTATTTAGCGAGGCTGCAGTTAGACCTTGCATTTGCTGTATTTTCAAAGAGCTGCCTGGAGCTGCAGAACAGTATTGTGCTTGTATGAATACAGAGTAAATTCTTAGCAGGTGCTTTACTAGATTGAGACGGGTGTTGGGTGTCTGAGCATTGCTGGTCTCTTACCTTGCTGATTTGCTGAAATTCTCCACTCATCAGGCCTGCACAGCAAACGACATTGAAACCCCCAGTTCAATGGGAACTTTTCATACAGAATAGTTGCTTGTTTTGTTTGTAGTCATTATTTTTAAATTTGCTATCTAAGCATGTTAGGGTTTTATTGGTATTATTCCTTCAGCAGCAACATCAGTTACTTCAGGCATTGTTTAAAGCTTATTTTTTTGCATTTCTTAGTGAGATTTGGCTTAAAGGAAAATCAGTAGAGGGAAAAGAATTAGTAAATCAAACCCTTCCTTTCCCTTTCGAACCTCTAGTTTTTCCACCCTCAAGTAAGTACGTGAAAGGAGTTTAACAACTTTAAATTGGATTTTGGAATGTCAGATGACTCTAATAGCCTTTGTACACAAATAACAACAGAAGAGCTGATTATTATTTCTGGGCTCTGCGATGCACTTATGTAATCATTAATCTTGGCACTTCTTTATCTCCAGCAGATTAGGAGGCCACTGTCATTTTGAAGACTGCTATTAAGTAGACTTCGTTAGTGTTTAAATATGTGAAGCTTAACTGTAAGCTTCCTTAATGTATATGATGGAGTTATCCTGTGCACAAAGCATTCTAATAGAGCTGTTGTATTAAGTTTTAGTCACATATGTGCTGCCACGGAGTCTGAACTGAGACATGTTTTAATGTAAAACAGCAGGTACGCAGCATCTGAGGGCACTTCAAATGCTTTTTAAGTTGAAAGCATTCAGCAAATAAACTTGCTGTATCTTCTACCTTTCAGTTAGTTTTGTCACAGACAGGCAGGAAATTAAATTCTATGGAATGAATAAGTAGAAGAGGGTTTTCATGAAGGCCATAGCACCTAATTAATTGTGGCAATGGAAGATCTTACACTAGGCCTTTTCTTTCCACAAGCTTGTAATTTTCAAAAACATTTTTGTGGGCAAGTACCTTTTTTTTTTTCCTTCCATCATCCATGTCACAAAATGAAGATGGTTTTCAAACACAGGATGGTTTATGCAGACTTGATAAGGAGATAAGAACCACAGAGCCAGAGCCAAGGCTAGGAAGATGCCATGAATGTACTTGTTTGGGGGACAGCACCATAGTGCAAGGTTTAAAGAACATATTGAAAACTAAACTTTCCCTAGCAGGAATGATTTTGACAGTGTTCTGTAGACTGGTTTTATTTTGCTGTAAACCTCAGCCTATCAAATTTCCATCTCCTCTGATATGATCCTTGACATTATCCCTCCTGGTCTAGCTTATGGGAGCAGTTCATAGCATTTGTTCCTGTGAAGGTGGAGAGAAGTGTGTGCCCAACAGCAAACAGCAGGGCAGGCTGCCCTCCAGCAGCTTCCCTCAGTCACTAAGGGATGGGCAGTGCTGGCCCTCCTTCATCAAAATGAGGGACCACCGAGAAACTTTCATGCAAGTCAATGAAGTACTGCTGAAAGTAGTTTCATTAATCTGAAGCGAACGCACAGAGGAGCTGTGAAAAGGCAAGACAGCACATATACACTAAAAGCAGGAGTGATGAACAGCATCCATAGTTTTGTTGTTTGTTTTTTTTTAAAGTGTTGCCATGTCAGCTAGGATAACACTGAACAGACTTGAGAAGAAGTCCTTTTTGTGAGGTTTGAGGGATTCTGGTTTGGGCTTCAGTAGGTGAGCTTCTAGTAGACAAGCACTGCAGAACTTGAAAGGACTTGCAGAATAAGTTCTCAGTATTGACTGCTATCTGAAACCAGACAGGAGGTTTTGGAGGGAGTTAAAAATGAGCACATGCAGCTAGAAGGCTTTTTACTGTTCGGAGTTCTGAAGTCGGTTTTGGTTGTTATTGTTCGTCTCTCAGATGAATCATCAGAAAATGAAAATTTAAACCAGACATTTAGAGCACACCTTTGTGAGAAACTAATGATTCCACTTGGCATACAGCATCAAAGGAAGCCTTTTTAATGACATCAAATTTGTGTATAGCCAAAAAGAAAATAAAAAAATCTTAAAAATGCAAATGCAGTCTCTTCAGAATGATGGAGCTTTTCTAGTTTGGGTGAAATGTTTTTTTCCTGCTACTTTTTCTTCTAGAAGTACATTCAGCTTTTGAGTGTTTTTTTCATCAAAGTACATCTCCTTTGCAAGGAAGTGGCTTCTTTACCAGCCACATTTGTTTGGTTTTAACTTAATGATACAAAATGCTATTTCTCAATACGCATACAGTGATACATCCTGCAATTTATGCAGAGGCCAAACCCTTAATAAAATTTTTGCAGCCTGGCAAAATGGCAGGACAGTTGTGAATCATGACAACTCTTTGTTTAAAGGGATACTTAATTGGGAAGGGAATATCTTGCTCTACCTTCTAGATGCTTTCCATATTCCATTTTCCAAACCGACTATTGCTCTCTCTGGGTCAATAACTGTTGAACTGTAGTATGGCTTGGTTGAATAGTAAGTGTAACAGGAATCTCAGGCACTGGGATGGAGAACAGGTAGGGCTGATGCTGACCAGTGACAACCTGCCTGGGACCTCGTAGCAGCATTCAGAAATTATTGACTGATCTGAGAGCTGTGTGCATATGTGTTAAGAATGAAAATGCAGCGTGGCCTACAGTCAGATTGAGCCCCATTGACCTAATGTTTCTTTAACATTTCAGGAGCCTGTCATCGTGTTAATTGAAATTGTTAGTAATCTTGACACTGTGTTGTAAGTGAAGTGAAATGCCACCCCTTTCCTCCCCCCCCTTACCATTGTTCTGAAAAGCTAGTAAAAGATCTTTCCTTAGTAAATGTTAGTGCAATTTAGCCAGCAACTAATTAAATCTCATAATTTGTCAGGCAGTATAACTATATGCCTTTTAATAGGGACTGAAATGACTGCATTCAAAGTATTGATAATTTCAGACTGTTTTGGAACCCAGGAAAAATAATCCAGGGAAAGGCCATTGTGCTGGCACACAGCTGTGTTCAGCTGACTTGCCTAAAGTTAGCAGGCAGTTGGTAATTTCTTCTTTGTTTCTGTACAGCACAACAAATATTAAGATGCTACCATAGGTGAGAATCCTATAAAGAACACATAGACTGTGGACTGACATAAACATTCGCTTGCTGCTTACTGAATAAACGCAGCAGCAAACCAGAACAGAAAAAGCAGCCAGTGCTGCCAGTTATTCTGGTAATAGCTCACACCTAT